CTGGCTTCGTCATCTTCTCCATCCTGGGCTTCATGGCTGGCCACCTGGGTGTGGACGTGTCCCGTGTGGCAGACCACGGCCCTGGCCTGGCCTTTGTGGCTTACCCTGAGGCCCTCACGCTGCTGCCCATCTCCCCGCTCTGGTCCCTGCTCTTCTTCTTCATGCTTATCTTGCTGGGGCTGGGCACGCAGGTACGAGGCACGGGACGGGCCCATGGCTTGGGAAGGGTGGAGACCGGGGCAGAGGTCAGGCTTCTGCTCTGATGGCGGTATCCTGCAGTTCTGTCTCCTAGAGACGCTGGTCACGGCCATTGTGGATGAGGTGGGGAATGAGTGGATCTTGCAGAAAAAGACCTATGTGACTTTGGGTGTGGCTGTGGCTGGCTTCCTGCTGGGCATCCCGCTCACCAGCCAGGTAAGAGCTGAAAGGCTGGGCAGGAGTTGCCAGGGTATGGAGGGGGTGGGTAATGGGTAGGGGAGCCTCGCCCCGGCATCCACGACTCAGCTGCCGCCTGGCCCATAGGCAGGCATCTACTGGTTGCTTCTGATGGACAACTATGCAGCCAGCTTCTCCTTGGTTGTCATCTCCTGCATCATGTGCATGTCCATCATGTACATCTATGGTAAGTGCCCAAGCTTCTGTGGCCTCCCGTGTCCCAGCCCGAGCCTGCCTGCGCTGTCCTGCCAGGCCCACTGACCCCTCTCTCTCCAGGGCACCGGAACTACTTCCAGGACATCCAGATGATGCTGGGCTTCCCACCACCCCTCTTCTTCCAGATCTGCTGGCGCTTTGTCTCTCCAGCTATCATTTTTGTAAGTTCCTCAGCTGGCCCCTCCCTCGCCTGCTGCCCCGCCTTTAAGAACCAGCAGAGGGAGAGCAGGAGCCCATGGATCTGGCCAGAGCTCCCCGGGGTCTCCACACCCACACCTCCGGCCCCCGGAGTCTGAAGGAAGTTGCACAGTCAGACAAGTATGTGGGGCCTCAGACCCAGCCAGGCCCTGGCCTTGTTAGGGAGCCAAGAGCCCTGTGTTTGGCTGAAGACAGTACCCAGCCTCAGAAGGGGAAAGCAAGCTGGCAGCAGCTGAGAGTCAGCTCCCACTCCCTGGTGTTCCTGCCTACAGTCCCCAGGGAGCTTCAGGAACCATTACTGATACTGGTGTCAGCCTTGCTGAGCAATTGTCTCCAATCCCTCATAATAGAGGTGCTCAGGGTACATGGTGTGAATGTATGAATGTTCTAGAAACGAGTTGTACATGTCAGATGTCAGCTCAGGATCAAGGGCAATTTCCTAAGCGTTCCAGGCATGGGAGTAGGCTGGCTTGGAAGGAAGAGTTCTTGGTTTCCACCAACATTCAACACCTGGGAAGCTTCCATCAGGGAGCTGAACTGGAGTAGAGAACAGCATGGCCAGGAACTAGGCACTTTCTGCATGATGTTAATATGTTAACTCATGTGATACACTCTCCATCATTATCCCCATTTTACAGATCAGGAAACTGAGGCACAGAGATGTTAAGTAATTGACCCAAGTCTACACAGCTTCTAAGAGGCAGAGCCACCATTCAAACCAGGTAGTCCAGTCTGTGGAGCCTGTGGGGGGGCCAGTGCTACACTAGAAACACCCACAGAAAGGAAGAATGGTCCCTGGACTAAAAACCATCTGATTTTGCTCCTTTATGCTCAAGGTGGGAAAGGGGTGCAAAAAACATTTGATAATGTAACGGTCACTCCACAGAGAAGAGATAGGGACATCTCTGAGTGACAGAGGGGTCAGCTGGTGGCAAGGACAGGGTCCAGAACCATGCCCAGCTCCCCTGTGCTACAAGGCTCAGCACCGGATTTCCACTTGGCTCATGTTTCTAAAAACAAAAAACAAAAAAAAGGCCCCTGAAGGCTGAGGCCTCCACCACATGGGGTGTGGGATCTTCCCAAGCCTGGCACAGGCACCAGCTCTGGATACTGGCCCAGCTTTGCAAGAGGAGGAGCGGAAGTCTCCTGTGAGTGGTGGAGGCCAGGGATGGCAGTCGGTGCCAAGTGCTGTGCCCTCTGGAGGTTGTGGCTGAGGCCCAGACCCAGGGCCTGCCTGTGGGGAGCTCATCCCGCACAGCTCTGAGGTGGCTGCCCCCCGGGGGCCTGGGACACCCGCCAAGAAAGGGCAGGAGGCAGGAAGGAGACAGGTTCAAGCGGCCTCCCCAGGGGCAGCCTCAGCCTGAGTCCTGTCTCCATGAGACTGAGGCACGGTGGCCATGCCCTCTCTGTGCTCAGGAAGTCAGCCTGGAGTTGCCTTGAGGTGAGGACTCCAGGCTCTATGGACATGCGTGTCTGGGGCTGTCATGTTTTCTCGGGGGCTTTACTTCCTTATATTTTGTTTCTGACAAATTCCTTCCATCTGTCAGCTCAAATAAGGGATTTGCCCACACCTAGATCAGAATCTAGTTCCATTCAGGAAACTTATTATACGCTCCTACGCTGTGCAGTGTCCCAGGAGGGGCCCCCCAGTGGATGTGAAGCTTGTCCTCCAGAATCAGGTCACTGGGAAGGCTGGGGAAGCCTGAAGCTCCAGGATGCAGCTGCGGGCTCAGGAGGCAGATGCTGAGCCCTGCTGCAGAGAGGCACACACACACCTGGGCCCTCTGGGTGGCCCACGAGCCACCTGTCCATCTTTCTGCTTCCTTTCCTTTTGTGGTCCCCGTGGCCCCAGTCTTGATTTACCATCTCACTCAGCTCTTTCCAAACCAGCTCCTGGCTCCCAGCCTGACACCATTTCTAGCCTTTGGCACTTCCCCTGGCTGTCACAGTCTCCACAGACATTGACAGGCAGGGCTTTGCCCTCTCCTCCCCACCATCACTCCAGCCTCTCTGCACAAGTCAGTTCAAATCAGCAAATGAGATTGTGCCGGCACTATACTGGGCCCTGGAGACCCAAAGCTCATGCAATCCCAGGATCTCCCAGATCTACGGACAACATTAAACAAGTGCTTAGCAGATGGGAAATGCCACTGAGAGCCCTTTCAGGGTGGGAAATCTGGAGAGGCTTCTTGAAAGAGGTGGCGTTTGCATAGGGTTTGACAGCAGAAGATGCAGAAAAGGATTCTCTAGAATAAAGAGGGTGGAAAACGATGGCTGCAGCTGCAACATTAAGCAGAACTGACTGATTCCAAAGGCAATTAATTGTTCCCCAGTTGGTTCAGGATTACGGCAAAGACAGACCTCTGCCCTTCCATGGTGCCTGCCTGCCAACCGCGCCTTGGACCCCTGGTTCCATCTGCTTCCTCCACTACACTGCTACTTCCACGTTGACATTGCCTCTGCCCTCCCCAAATGCCTCTTTCTAGTTGAGGAACCTAGAGAGGAAGGGTAGGGGTAATGATAGGTGACCTGAGGCCCGGGGGTGCCTCCCACCCACTCCCCTCCCTCCTTCGCAGTTCATTCTCATCTTCACGGTGATCCAGTACCGGCCAATCACCTACAACCACTACCAGTACCCAGGCTGGGCCGTGGCCGTCGGCTTCCTCATGGCTCTCTCCTCCGTCATCTGCATCCCTCTCTATGCCTTATTCCAGCTCTGCCACACAGATGGGGACACCCTCATCCAGGTGAGGGGTGGGGGCTGAGGGCAGCAGGTGAAACAGGAGGGGGTGGATGAATGGGGCTTAAGGCTCCCTTCTGACACGTCTTGCCCCTGACACCCACTCCTCCTGCAGCGTTTGAAAAATGCCACAAAGCCAAGCAGAGACTGGGGCCCTGCCCTCCTGGAGCACCGGATTGGGCGCTATGCCCCCACCATACCAGCCTCTCCTGAAGATGGGCTTGAGGTCCAGCCACTGCACCCTGACAAGGCCCAGATCCCAATGGTGGGCAGTAATGGCTCCAGCCGTCTGCAGGACTCCCGGATATAAGCACAGCTGCCAGGGGAGTGCCCCACTCCTGCCCCAGGCTCCCACTACAGAGACTGGGGAGTCAGTGGACTGGTGTCACTGCCTGCCCCTGCCACACCCTGGCCAGGGCAGCTGCTGTCACCTTGGCCACCACTGCTAGTGTGGTCATTCATGCTTGTGTCCCCAGTGTTTACAGGTCCTTTGGATGCCAAGATGGCAGCTGGTGGGGGGCTATGGAAGGGTTGCCAGGGGGCCCAAAGCACTTTGGAGGGGTCTCAGGCCAGGTCCCCAGAGGCCTGCCAGGCTTCACATGGTCTTTGATGCCTCCACACTCTGCCCTGAGCTAAGGTTCTGGGTGGGCCCTCTACCAATCCCCCTCCTTAGGCCTCCAGCCTTCTGACCAGTGTTCCTGCCCTCCAGGCAGACCCCAGCCTCTGTCCAGGCAGATGTGCATCTTCCGACCTGGGGGCAGGGTGGGGGGCTGGGGGCTGTGCAGTGTTATTTGTCAGGCTGTGCCGCCCAGCCCTGTTTATCTGTGTAATTATTTTGCAACAATTGTGTTATCTGTGGTTGCACTCCTGTGCCCCTAGCCTTGGGCCCAATCTGTCTTCCAGGCCTGCCTCACCTCACTAGGCTGCTCTGGGGTCTGTGTGCCTCATTCCAGCCCTGGCTGTCAGGCCCAGCCAGCAGAAGCCGGGGACCCAGCAGCCTGCCCAAAGCACTAGTTTCTGGGGACAGGGGTGGAGTGCTGCTCAGCAGGAGGTTTGGGCCCAGACCTCCAGGGAAGGGGCCCCTACACAACAGCCCCTTACCCTCCCTCCACCAGGCTAAAGGCCCAGCCCTCCCAAACTGGGCTGCCCTTGTTCATGTGCCAAATGGCCCCAGCTGTATGCCCCATTCCCTCTCTGAAACCAGAGCCCCTTCCCTCAAGTCCTGCAGTGTCTGTTTGTCTGTCCTCTGTGCCCCTCTGTACAGTGACAGCCCTGGAAGAGCCACCTCTAATCCTCTGTAGCAATAACGGTGCACTACCTGCGCCTGCCCATCCGTGTACCACTAGGATTTTAAAGTCCATAGGATTTTAAATTTAATGAAATTTCTATTCCTGTCTATTCTCTTTGTTAAATTTTTATTCCTGCTGTGCTTTGTCTGGGTCCCCCGGGGGAACAAGAGTCTGGCTGGGATGAGACCTCTGCCTGCCAGGCCTTTGTGGAGGCCGCCTGGGAGGAGAAAAGCCAAAGGCTGGGTTGGTTGGGACAAGATACCAGGGGCCTAGCAGAGGGTGGGGTGAAGGCCAGACAGATAGCCTTGCAGTCCTGATGAGGGCCCATCCAAGACTAAGTCTAAAGCAGGCTGGGTCACAGTGGCAGCAGCAGATGGGGTGAATTCCAGCAGAAGCTGAAGACTACTTGGTGGCCAGCCCTTCATATTGGGGCCTGGGGTCCTGCACTGGACAGTGGAGTGGAAGTTGGTCCTTTTCTGGGGCTGCACTGAAGCCTCCGTCCCCAGCGGCAGGTGGTGGCCAGGCCTCGAGGTCGGGGGCAGTGCTCCAGAGGAGGAGCAGGCAGGCAGCACTGGAGAGGCCCACCCCAAACTCCAGCAGCCCCATGGAGGCAAGGCAAGGGTCTAAGGCCCTGGATGGAGGCTCCTAAGGGCCTCTGCCTGAACAGGAAAGAGTAGCTGTGAGGGGTCCGTGGCCTGACCCTTAGCACCCTGTCCAACTGTCCATCCGCTCTCCACAGGTTTACCTGGGGCTTGGGGAGACATAGGGAGGTTTCAGAGGGACTTGGAGCTCCTGTTGCATGGCTGCCTTCTGTTCCTTCAGCTCTGGAAAAGAGGTGTAGCTGAGGCACAGTGCCCGGCTCTTCGAGGGTGTGTACAGCGTTGGGCAGGGAGCAGGAGGAGACTGGCTAGGTGCCCCGGGGTCTACTCAGGGTCCTCACCTGCCAGGGTGGGCTCTAGGGTTGCCTCAGAGGGTGGGGGTGCCCGTGTGTACTCCTCTTCCAGGCAGCGCTGCAGGGAGAGCTGGCTCAGGGTCCTGGCATCAGCAAGGATGGGATGGGGCAGGGGTGCAGAGGCCAAGAGCCCCACAGCAGGGCCCACAAATAAGCCCATGAAACCACCTCATTCTAACCACCTGGGAGCAGCGCCCATGGGGAATACCAGCCCATTTGAAAAGCCAAGCTTGGTGAGGTGGTGTTGGCTGGCCTGGACCCAGACGTAGGGAAGGGAAGGAGGCAAAAGACAGGGACAAATCCAGCAGGTTAATCTAAAAGTACTGACTTTGGACTTATGGGATCAATCAGAATCGTGTGCTTCTAAATTCACACACACGAGAAGTGTGCACATGGGAGAAATGGGCACAGATTCACACAAGCTTTACACGCACATATGCACACACACACAGGTACATGGGTCTCATATACCATGTGAGAGGCAGGACCACATATCTACAGCCTCAGAGGGCTCTGGGCAGGGAGGCCTCACCTGCAGGATGGGAATCTCCCCCTCCAAGGCGCGACTCTCCTCCTGCAGGAGGCCCCTGTGACACATGGGAGTGGGGCCACAAGAAGCAGTGCCACAAAACCCAGTCTCAGCTGAGTCCACCATACAGCCCCAGTCTGTAGTCTCCCAGGTGCCCCCCTCCAGGCCTTTGTCAGCCCACCTTGCCCTCTGTTGCCCTGGCACTGGTCCAGCACAGCCTTCCAGACCCTCTTACTAGGCAGGATGTATCTTTGGTTCTCTCCCCACCTACCTCACAGCACCCACCCCAGCAGGCACCACTCTCTCGGCACTACTGCACTGGGCCAGCGAATCCTCCTGCCTCCAGTCTCCCCTGCCTCACAGCCCTTCTTCTGCTTAAATCTCTTCTGTGGTTCCCCTACCTCAGGATAAAAGTCCTTGGGCCATGGCTCCTGGACATATCCATACTTGGCTACTTCCTGGCAGCAACCAGCCCTTAACACCTCTCAGCCTTCTTCTCCTGGGTCTCCCCAGCTAGGGGTGTGCTGCCTCCTCCTCCCCCTCTTTACAGTCCAGTATAAGCCCCATCCCAGTCCTGTCCTCCCTGTCTCCACCCCAATCACACCCTCAGGGGCCTCACCGCAGGTGTCTGGCCACCTGGTCGATGCTGAACACATTCAGCTGGTCCTTGATGACATGGAGGTCTCTGGGACTGCTGCTGGCAGGTGAAGTCAACATCACTGTCCACATGGGGCCTACTCCAGGCCTTCAGGACACAAATACCACTTTCAGACAATTTTGAGTCTTCTCTCACAAAGGCAACATAATGTACTGCAAAGAGGAGTTCTGGCGCCTAGGGTTGCAGATGGGCTCTGACACCCGTCACTTGTGTGACCTTGGGCAGATCGATGATCTTGTCTGAGCTTTAGTTTCATCTACAAAATGGGGGCAATCACCCGCCTCACAGGGTTGTGTGACAATTACAAGTTGCTGCCATTCATTCTTATGAACACACTCCTGCTCCTTTAATCTCATTCAGTTGCCAGCAGCCCTTTCTAGTCCAGCCCTCACTCCTGTTCTCCAAACATGAAGAACAATTGACCCCTGGCTCCTTTCCCTCAGCCATGTTTGCATAAAGCCCTCCCTGTTTCTGCAAAGCTCTTCTCTCACTCATCTGCCTGGAAATCTCTTCCACATACTCCAAGACCCAGATCAAAACAGTCACTTTCTCCAGGAAGCCCTGCCTGTTCCCAGGCTTTGCAGGTGTCTCCTGGGCTTCTGCAGCCCTCATATGCTGATGCCTACCACAAGTGGCTGTAGCTGTGTCCTGCCCCGAGAGCTCCTCCACGGAGCAAGGCAGGACCGAGTCGTTAGTTGGGGCTCTCTGCCAAGCAGGTACAGATCCCTTCTCTCCTACAACCACTTTACCTGGGCTCATCAGCTCTCATCTGGAATACCTCTTGTTCTGGCACATCACACCTGGGCTCCTCCAAGGCAAAGCGCAGGACCTTGGGGCTATACTGCACCCAAGCCTGGGTGTGGTCCCTGCAGAAGGTGTGGGTGAAGAAAACTCAGAGGGGCTCCTTCCAGGGAACCATAGTTAAGACGACCCTGGCCCTTATCATGTGCAGGGCTAGCCCATCTGATTTCTGGGGATGAGGCCTGTGCCCCAGGTCGGAGGCCCCCACCTGCCCTCGTAGATGGCCTTCTGACGGAGACCTTGGAGCAGCTGCCGCAGTTCCTGGCGCAAGAGGTCTCTCAGGAGGGGCGGTGGCGCCAGAAGGGAGGAGGGGTCAGAGGTGGGGCGGGAGTCCGGGGTTTGCGAGGATCGAGCCTCTCGGAGCAGTGACTGTAGCATCACCACCTACAAGGAGAGCTGGGACACCCTGAGACTGGGGAGGGAAGTGATAGAAGTGAGGAGGTCTCGGGGAGCAAGGGGCAGAGAGGAGTCAAACGGGAGAGGGCTAGGCGGACAGGTAGATCCCACCAGATTTCGAGTCACCGCGCAGGGCCAGGGGCCCGGAGGAGGTGGAGAAATCTCTCGAGTCCTGGGACGGGCCCGGGGTGTGGCCCACCTCCCCACCTCTGCCCTCAGCTCCCGGCTCAGGTCCACCGTCGTCTCCCCCAGAATCCTCTTCACTTCGGGCAGCTCCGGGAGCGGAACAAGTTCCTCCACCAGCTCCCACAGTGACGGGGAGTCCCAAGACATGGCCTGCCCGGGCCGCCGCCCCCCGACGCGCGGCCCCGGCTGGGACCTGCGGGACAGCGGGTCAGGGCGCCGGACTTCAGGGAGCTCGCGGGTCGCCCGGAGCTGGGCCCCGCCAGCCCCTGCCCCGCCGCTCCCAGGCAGCTCGGGCCCCGCCTCCAGCCGGCCTCCCCCAAGCCCCACCCTTGTCCTGCCGGCAGTCCCCAAGAGAATTAATGCGCCCCGGAACCACCGGTCTCTGGCGCGGTCTCTTCTGCCGCGCTTCTGGCCGCCTGTCAGTGGCTGCGGCTCCTGGTCACTGTCCCCAGGAGCCGGCCAGTGGGGACCCGGGCCCTAGCCCCGTCTCTTCCGCGCCGCTGTCACCAGGGAAACTGCGCCGCTACCCAGGCCCCGCCCCCGCCCGTTCCAGGTCTGGAGGGTGGCGCGGGCTCGAAGGGAGTGGGACGCATAGCCGAGGTAGGTGGCTTTGGAGTCTGAAGCAGCCAGGGCCCTGACCCCAAGCACATTGGACCCATTCCCGGGCACCTTTCGTCTTCGGGGCACGGAGAAAAACTGAAGAATCCAAGCCCACGGGGTTTACTTCGCTGCCTACACTGGCCACGAGGCAGTGGCCGGGTAGACCTTTCCCCTTAGGGCCTGCGGAAGTCTCATCAGGGGGCTGCTCTTGGAGGGGTCTGGGGAATCAGGGCCTCCCGGGCCAGACTCCAGGCACCTTCCCACAACACACTCAGGGTCTGGGTTCAGAGTCCCAGATCCCCATTCCAAGCAGACAAAGGGGGCCTGCTCCATTCATGTTTTTTACTAAAGCACCCACACAAGTTTCTGTGCAATGTACAAACACGAGCCGGCCCTGGGGCTGCCTTCTCTCTGAGGTGGGGAGGCAGGAAGCAGCTGACTGATCCAAGCCCCACCCACCCTCCATGCAAAGCCTAACCCCACAATTCCAGGCAGCGACACAGCACCCCCCTGGTCCCCTCCTGGAGCTGCTCCTCAGCAGGGGGCACACCAGAGTTTGCCCCTACAATGTTGAATGAAAAAGGTTTCCCCTCCCCTGGTAACATGGGGTATCCCCAGGTCTGAGAATTCCCCCCGGAAGCAACAGTGAATGCCCCCCAGTCATACCTCCCACTCTTTCAGGCCTTAGGGGACTCAAGGGGGGGAAACTGAGGCACACAGAGGTGGAGTGACCTAGCCCGGGCCACGCAAGGCAGTGCAGGGGCTGGCCCGACCCTGACAGTGAGGGGGGCTGGGCTGGGGCAGGAGGGGCAGGAGGGAGGGCCGACTCCAGGGAGGGCCACACTTGAGGGGCCTGCCCAGCATGGAAGCCCCCCAAAGTAGGTTCTGAACTATCCAGGTGCATCTGGGAAGACCCTCCAAAAACAGAGCCCACAGTCTCAGTCCGGGGGATCCCCAAAAGAGCAGCCGCCAGCCAGGCTGTAGGTCAGTCCTCTGGCAGGCAATCCTTGGCACTGGAAGCCTTTGTCCATTAGTGTCAGCCCCGAGGGGGCCATGATGGGGGCCGCCCAATGTCCACTGTGATATTGGTGAAGAGTGGCTGCCGAGACACCTCTAAGACCTGGTATCGCACTGACCCAATGCCGTCCCGCTTCATGGTCAGCTTCGTGTTTTGAATCTTGGTAAACCTAGATAAGATGGAAGCGGGTCCAGATCAGGGCTAACCACCAAACCAATATGGTACCTCTGGGGCTAAGGCTCAAACCATCCTAGCTTCTTCCAGGGAGGACTCCGTTCTTCCTGCCACCCTCTAACCTCCACCTGCCTGGAGCCCTTTTGCTCTTGCATCTGCCCTCAAAACAGAGATCTCATCCTCTTGAGTTCAGAATTGTGACACCCTCACAAGTGTTCCTTATCTCATACCTTCCTTCTGAGACTCATACCCAGCAGGGGGCATCCCACAGGCACCTTGAATGCAATGTGTCCTGTGTATCAGCTCATCTTTATTCCCCAAGCCCATCATCTCTGCCATCCTCTCTGTCACTCATGCTTTAGACACTGTGCACTCTCTGTTTATTGAGCAGTCCCAGGCTCTGCTCTAAGCACCAGGGACACAGCCAGGCAGGACAGCAAGGTCCTTGCTCTCAAGGTAAGTCTACTCCACTAGGGGAGACAGGTAATAGACAGGAACCCATCAGACTGCTACGGGAAGGCAGGAGAGGGAGACCAAGATGACTGCCTTGGGAGGGGTGAGTACGCGACATGAAGCTAACAGCCGGGGAAGAGCATTCCAGGCAGAGGTAACAACAGCACATGCTGATCCTAAACGGGGAAGAATTTTCACAGGAAGTAGCTAGAGCCTAATGGGCCAAAGGAAAAAACAGTAAGATTAGTTTGAAGGCCAGAGCATGTATGGGCAGAGCTCTGTAAGTCAGAGGAAGCAGTTTTTTATTTCGTGAGTAAGAAGACACTGAGGGATATTTAACCCAGTTTGGGAGGGGGGAAGGGGACTTGAGCTATACAGAAGGGAAAAGGGGAAGTGGGACCCCAGCGGGAGGCCACTGCAGTAGTCCAGACAAGATGACAGAGGCTGCCCTGGGCAGAGGTGGTAAAGGGAAAAGTTGTTGGGCTCAAGTATGTTGTGGGGGTGGCACTGACCTGACTTGCTGATGGTTTGGACACTTAAGGTGAAGGAAAAAGGAATCCAGGAGAACTAGATTTGAGGCAAAAGCAACTAAGTAGATGGAACTACCATCCAGAGTTCATTAAGCCAAAATGTCTTGCCACCTTGCCACTTCCCCACCCAAGGCAGACATCACTAACTAACTGATGGTGGCACCTAGATGCGCTATTCCTGAAACAGGACCAAGGGCTTGTGTGTGCTTCCGGGGCTTCACTCCCACCCCATCCCAGTACTCTGATCCTCCTAGTCCTTCAGAGCTCAGCTCAGGTCCCCCTCCAGAGCCGTCCCAACACTGAGCACTCTCCCTCTGAGGGGCCTTGAAGCCCCTTCCTTCCCTGCTCACCATGGTTTTATCTGAACAGCTTTTCTGTCATCTCCCTGGATGCCAGGTGCTTCATGCTTCTGCCAAACATCAACCCTACGTCAGTGCTGCAACCTCCCTGACGTTTACACCCTGGGTTCAGAGCAGAACCACCCTGTTCCAGCTGGGGGCACAGCAGCCTCATACCCAGTACATCCCCTGGGCCCCATCCCTCAGGCCTCGGTGGCCTCCCTGCTGCTCCACCAGCTCTGCCAGCCCTTCACCTTCTTCAAACTCAGGGGGTGGTCTTTCTGAACCCAAATCTGATCCTGCCCTTTCCTTGCTTAAATCCCTTCCATGACTCCCTAGCACCCCTGGGACAAAAGTGAAAGTCCCACCCTAGGATTTGACAACCAGCACTGACCCACCACTACTGTCACTCTCAGCCTGCAGAGATTGTAACACCAAAGAGCTTCAGGCTCTCAGCAAATAACATGCATGTTCACACTCCAGACTCCCACAAATGCTATTCCTTTTATCCAAATTGGCCTCCTCCATTAGCCTGGTGAATATAGTACTGTGCCCAATGTAGGTGTATGACAAATATTTGTTGAATGAATAACTCTTTTCAAACTTTCATTTACCATCACCTCCTCCAGGAAGCCCCCTACCATCATGCCCTCTTCTGCCAGGACAATACCTTGCCCTGATCACTCTGTGCTGTAACTTCCGACCTCCCTCCCTAGAATCAACTTCATGTGGGATATCCAGCAGGGATTGGGTAGACTGCTCTGGGCTCCCCCTCCCCACAAAGTTTGGCACCAGACAGTCCTACAGCAGTGTCCCGAAGCCCTTATCTACCTTCCACATGCCCTCAGCAGACACGAAGTGTTGCTACATCCTCAGAGATGGAGCTGCCTACTCTAGTCTCAGAGGGGTCTGCTCTTTCTTCTCCCTGACGCATGCTGCTCAGGCCACCTTTGTTGGGTCCCCATGCCCAAGAGCTGTGCCCGGGGTCTCCTACCTCTTGTCCTATCTGCTCTGGTACAAGGGAGGTCTGCAAGGGCACTGATGGGAATGCAGTGTGATCAGGGACGACTGCAGCCCTGCCTTAGCATTTCAGTCATCAGGAGTCAGGCCAGCTGGGCAGGTGTCTGGGGTGAGGCTGGGCATGGGGAAGGGAACAGGGAGTCATCCCGTAGAGGTCAAGGGTCAGGGGCCTTGGGATTCCCTCTTGGGATCAGCAGCACTGTGGGATCACCTCCAGAGAGTAAAGGGTCAGGGGCACCTGCAGTCAGGGGTGCTGGGGATCACCTCTGCGGGTTCGGTTCGTTATGCTTGTCCCGGTCGTGCTTGATCATGCGGTAACGGCCTATGCGGATATCTGGGCGGGAGATCTTCATCCCAGTCAGGGAGATCCTGGGGATGGGGACAGACTGACTGGAGCAGACACCAGGCAGGGCAAGAAGTCCCACCCTGTCTGTGCTGCACCCTCCCTCACCCGGTCTACTCCCAGCCAGGCCCTGCTCACCGGTTGAAGATGTCATCATCCTCACCACCCCAGCCCCAGTACTCGTTGGGGAAGCCATTGATCCTCAGAAACTGGGCTTTACTCAGGCCTGACACGCCTCCAAAGTAGCCTGCGTAGGGCAACCTGTGGCATGGGAAGGCAGGGGCAGTGAGGGGCCTGGGGGGATTCCAGGTGGAGGACTTGAGATGGGATGTGGGGAGAGGGCTATAGCGGCCTGAGCAGGGGCACTGGAGCTGGGAGCGAGGGCTGGTGGGGAAGAGGAGGTGGGGCAGTCTGGGTGGGAGGTCTGGGTCCAGGGAGAAGGGAGCCCTCACCGGAAGCCGAACTTGTCCATGGCCACGGCAAAGTGGCGGGGCTGGTCGCCACAGCGGTACAGGTTGCGGTCATCCATGGGGACCAGGTCTACGTCACTGAAGATGAAGCAGTCATAGGTGGCGTCCTCCTTCAGTGCCTCTAGGAAGCCCACGTTGAGCAGCTTGGCCCGGTTGAAGGTGTCCTCACCATGCTGGGGTTGGTGGAGGGCATGTATCAGCTCTGGGCCTGTGGTTGGAACCTGCCACTTTACCACTGTCTAGAGCAGTCACCATGGACCTTCCAACCCCTTCCTGAGGTGGCTCCCCACAGAAACTCAGGATCAAGTCCAGCTCTTTATCCTGGACCTGGCCTTCCAAGGGCTTTTATGATTTGGCTCCAGTCTCCTCAGACCCCAAGACCCAGGTATGCTACATTCTTCAGCAGTCCCAGAATATGCCAGATGTTTTGGTCCTGAGGCCTTGGTGTTAGCAGTTCCCCCTGCCTGGAATGCCTTCCCTCTCTGCTTCTCAAGTTCATGTCTGGAAAGGCCTCCCTGCCCAAACCCTCCCACCCACTCCTTCCTGTGTGCTTCATTTATGCCAGTGTCCATTTAAACTGTGACTTAGAGCTTTCATTTTACTCATTCTAACATGCCCTGTGGCCCTGCCCTTTGTGCCAGGCATCTTCTTTGGGCCAGTGGAAATCCTAGAGATGAGCAGCACCAAGTGCACAGTGTTCCTATTGGGCACACAGTCCCAAGTGAGATGAACAGTGAATGCCCCAATGAACGGTGTCTAAGGTGCAGAAACCACGAGGACTGAGCCACCAAGCATCAGCCACCTGTCTGCTGGCTCATGTGGATCCACATCCAACTCTCTGGGCAGCCTCTGACACCAGGACAGGGCTGGGCTGGATTCACTTGTCTCCCCACAAAATGACAAGCATGGGTCTATAGGCAATCGTGGTCCAGTGATCTTGGGGTTCCCTGAGAAATGGGGCCAAAGGGCCAGCTCTCCTTCAGGCTGGGATCCTAGTCATTCAGGCCCAAGTTCCAAATTCTGGCCAGAGCAAGAAGATTCCGTGGCAGGAGCTGGTTCCCAAGTCCCCTGCTCCAAACCACAATCTCCAGGCTGGAGAGGCTCCTACGGAGGCATTTTCAAGTGAGTCCTTCTGGAAGGAGGGAAGGAACAGCAGTCCCTCCTCTCCACCAGGCAGCCTGGTTGGGTGGAGCTGCTCCCCTCAAATCCTGGACCACTCAGCCCCCCTCGCACTCTCCTCCCACAGTACCTTCTCTCCCACCTGCCCCAGAGCAACTGTCTGCCTTCTCTGGGTTCAGCGGCACTCGTTTCTGATCTCTCTCACCAGCCAGGAACCCTAGGTTTCTCCCACATAGCTCATAAACATGTTCAGTTCTCCCCCATCTGAAAAATAAACCTCCCTCTAGCCACTGCCCCTACCTTTTGCCTTCCCTTCCTAGCAGAGGGTTTTTTTAAAAAGAATTATCTCCAATTGGCTATTTCCATTTTGTCAAATCTGATTCCTTTTTCAACCCACTGCAATCTGCTTCCGCCCCCACCATGCCCCTGAAATGGCTCTCTCTGGGCCCACCTTGTTGCTAAATCCACTGGACGCTGCTTGCTCCACATCCTTCCTTACTCCCCCGGCAGTGCTAACACAGCTGCCATGCTTCCTTCTTGATACTTATTCCTGGGCTTCTGGGACACTACAGTGTCCTGTCTGCTCGAACCTTTCTGGCCAACCTTTGCAGCCTCTGTGTGGTCCCTCCTTCTCTACCTGTCCCTTATGTGCCCAGGTCCCATGCTCCCTGGGCAGGCTGGGCACTGTTGGCTTTAGGGACCATCTATATACTGATTGCTCCCAGATCCCTCTTTCTACTTCACACCTCACTCCTAGGTCAACTCACTTCTCCAACTGCCTGCTGAACATTCCTCTCATACTTTCCCCAGACACTCAAACTCATCACTGCAAAAAAGAATTCGGAGTCACATTCTCTTCCAGACCTGCCTGGTCCTGGGTTTCCCCTTTCGCTCCTGGCCACAGCCATCCACACAGCAAACAGCTGAGACAGCAGCCCTCAAGGTATCCTGGTATCTCCCTTCCCTTACTCTCCCCTATTTGTGTCACATCTCTCCCTTTCTCCCAACTACTGCCCAATAATGTGCATGTTCACCATCTCTTTCCTGAACATCTGGAGCCTTTTCCCAACTGGTCATCTGCCTCCAGTCTCCCATTCTATCCTGTTCTCCACAAGCAATAAGAGAGAGCTTTCTAATAAGCAGACATACACATTACTCTCCCCTTAATGCCTTACAATAGTGCCCCATCACCTTCAGGCTGGAATTTACCCACTTAGTATGCCTCCTAAGACCTTTCTGGATTTGTTCTCTGCCAGCTCCTCCAGCCTCATCTTTGCTACCCAACTACATGTTAGACCCCCCATCTCAGCTAACAGTTTCTGAACAAACAAGACTACGCAATTCTCTAGCTGGGACCTAGGTCCTCCAGATCCCTGTGCCTAGAATGCCTGCCCCCTCCAGTCCCTCCACCTGCTAATGCCTGTTCATCCCTCAAGATCCATCGCAATCATCACTGCCCAACCCCAGGGCTGGACAAGCCCCTCTTGGCCCCCATGGCCTCTGCTGCAACTCATCACACATCAGCATCCTGGAGTCTACAGGGACCCAAGTCCAAGTCTGGGCATTCTCTGTGTGGAGGAGACCCACATCAGACCTTCCCTGGGCCACAGTAACCAGCTCCAGCCCAGTCCATGGTAGGGCTCAGACACTGAGCTGAGCCTCTGGGCCTCAGCTGTGGCTGGCACTTGGCCCTAATGTAGACTGCATCCCTCTTTCAGGTCTCTCCTTGGGGGTCCCTGAACATTTTCTCCTAGCCAGCATACCCTAAGCCTCCACAACCATGGGCTGGGGCCTACCAAGGGTAGACAACAGGGCTCACCCCCACTGAGGCTACACACATATGGATCACACTACATTCACATATCCACGACAGACAAGGACCCATGCATGCCCCCACCCCCACGTATGCACCCATGGGTGCTGTGGGTTCTCTGGAGACCAATGCCCGGACTAGGGGCCACAAGCAGTGCACCTGGTTGATGACGTAGATGCCATAGCGCAGCCTCTGTCGCCTCAGGATGGGGTGCAGGTAGTGGAGCCAGTAGTGTAGGTGGTGCTCCCGGTGTCGAAAGGGGATGATGACTGCCACTGTCTGGGCTGGAGTGCAGTCAGGTGGTGTGTAGCGGCCGCCCAGGAGCACCCCTGGGTTCTCCCTTTGCACACGTTCCAGCGGCATGGGTGAGGTGAACTCAATCAACAGTCGGCCCACTGCAGGCAGGGTGGTGGCAGGGTCAGGCCTTCATCAGAATCCAGAGACACCAGCCCTCCCTCTCAGCTTGAGGCTCCTGGAACAGTCCTCTTACAACAGCCCCAGACCCACGGGCCAAGGTCCACTCCCCCAGTCAACCAGGTCAGGTCCTCGGCCCACCCCTACAGGCAGGCCCCAACCCTGCACTCACCGAGACCAGGTGGCGAGTCAGGACAGGGCGGCAGGACAGGAGCCGTGGGGCCGGGCCGGGCGCTCGGAGCCTCGGGGAGTCCTGAGCTGGGGGCAGTGGTGTTGGGCCGAGAGCAGTTAGTGCTGCTGCTGGCAGCTGGGTGGAGGGCACGGGCAGGGCTGCGGGCACTGAAGCGGCTGAAGAAGGCCAGGTGCTGGGCGTAGACGTCAAAGTAGAGGATGACAGCCACAAGAAAGTGCAGCAGACAAAGAAGGAGCACAGCCTTGCAGACGCGCTCCAGCGTCCCCCCAAGCAGTCTGCTCATCCCGCAGGCGGCCGTCGGCCCGCCTAGTGGGCCCGGGCATCCGGCTGCCGGCCTGAGCAGGAGCAGGGGTAGGAGAGAAACAGACCCAGCAGGTCAGGGTGGGGCGAGCAAAGCTATCCACCCACCTCCTGCCTACTGCTCAACTCATGGACCCACATCCTCACACTTACCTGCTTATACCCTTTGACACTCATGGACTCACATTCTACCTGCAAATAGACACACAGACACAGTCCCTGGCAACTCACTTCTCACACACCTTTACACACCGGAGTACTAAGCCATATTGTTTGCATTCCTCGTCCTTAATACCACACACACATGCACAACTGCACATGACCTCACACTCAGGTACATGCAGGGGAAGAGGAGGTGGGGCAGTCTGGGTGGGAGGTCTGGGTCCAGGGAGAAGGGAGCCCTCACCGGAAGCCGAACTTGTCCATGGCCACGGCAAAGTGGCGGGGCTGGTCGCCACAGCGGTACAGGTTGCGGTCATCCATGGGGACCAGGTCTACGTCACTGAAGATGAAGCAGTCATAGGTGGCGTCCTCCTTCAGTGCCTCTAGGAAGCCCACGTTGAGCAGCTTGGCCCGGTTGAAGGTGTCCTCACCATGCTGGGGTTGGTGGAGGGCATGTATCAGCTCTGGGCCTGTGGTTGGAACCTGCCACTTTACCACTGTCCAGAGCAGTCACCATGGACCTTCCAACCCCTTCCTGAGGTGGCTCCCCACAGAAACTCAGGATCAAGTCCAGCTCTTTATCCTGGACCTGGCCTTCCAAGGGCTTTTATGATTTGGCTCCAGTCTCCTCAGACCCCAAGACCCAGGTATGCTACATTCTTCAGCAGTCCCAGAATATGCCAGATGTTTTGGTCCTGAGGCCTTGGTGTTAGCAGTTCCCCCTGCCTGGAATGCCTTCCCTCTCTGCTTCTCAAGTTCATGTCTGGAAAGGCCTCCCTGCCCAAACCCTCCCACCCACTCCTTCCTGTGTGCTTCATTTATGCCAGTGTCCATTTAAACTGTGACTTAGAGCTTTCATTTTACTCATTCTAACATGCCCTGTGGCCCTGCCCTTTGTGCCAGGCATCTTCTTTGGGCCAGTGGAAATCCTAGAGATGAGCAGCACCAAGTGCACAGTGTTCCTATTGGGCACACAGTCCCAAGTGAGATGAACAGTGAATGCCCCAATGAACGGTGTCTAAGGTGCAGAAACCACGAGGACTGAGCCACCAAGCATCAGCCACCTGTCTGCTGGCTCATGTGGATCCACATCCAACTCTCTGGGCAGCCTCTGACACCAGGACAGGGCTGGGCTGGATTCACTTGTCTCCCCACAAAATGACAAGCATGGGTCTATAGGCAATCGTGGTCCAGTGATCTTGGGGTTCCCTGAGAAATGGGGCCAAAGGGCCAGCTCTCCTTCAGGCTGGGATCCTAGTCATTCAGGCCCAAGTTCCAAATTCTGGCCAGAGCAAGAAGATTCCGTGGCAGGAGCTGGTTCCCAAGTCCCCTGCTCCAAACCACAATCTCCAGGCTGGAGAGGCTCCTACGGAGGCATTTTCAAGTGAGTCCTTCTGGAAGGAGGGAAGGAACAGCAGTCCCTCCTCTCCACCAGGCAGCCTGGTTGGGTGGAGCTGCTCCCCTCAAATCCTGGACCACTCAGCCCCCCTCGCACTCTCCTCCCACAGTACCTTCTCTCCCACCTGCCCCAGAGCAACTGTCTGCCTTCTCTGGGTTCAGCGGCACTCGTTTCTGATCTCTCTCACCAGCCAGGAACCCTAGGTTTCTCCCACATAGCTCATAAACATGTTCAGTTCTCCCCCATCTGAAAAATAAACCTCCCTCTAGCCACTGCCCCTACCTTTTGCCTTCCCTTCCTAGCAGAGGGTTTTTTTAAAAAGAATTATCTCCAATTGGCTATTTCCATTTTGTCAAATCTGATTCCTTTTTCAACCCACTGCAATCTGCTTCCGCCCCCACCATGCCCCTGAAATGGCTCTCTCTGGGCCCACCTTGTTGCTAAATCCACTGGACGCTGCTTGCTCCACATCCTTCCTTACTCCCCCGGCAGTGCTAACACAGCTGCCATGCTTCCTTCTTGATACTTATTCCTGGGCTTCTGGGACACTACAGTGTCCTGTCTGCTCGAACCTTTCTGGCCAACCTTTGCAGCCTCTGTGTGGTCCCTCCTTCTCTACCTGTCCCTTATGTGCCCAGGTCCCATGCTCCCTGGGCAGGCTGGGCACTGTTGGCTTTAGGGACCATCTATATACTGATTGCTCCCAGATCCCTCTTTCTACTTCACACCTCACTCCTAGGTCAACTCACTTCTCCAACTGCCTGCTGAACATTCCTCTCATACTTTCCCCAGACACTCAAACTCATCACTGCAAAAAAGAATTCGGAGTCACATTCTCTTCCAGACCTGCCTGGTCCTGGGTTTCCCCTTTCGCTCCTGGCCACAGCCATCCACACAGCAAACAGCTGAGACAGCAGCCCTCAAGGTATCCTGGTATCTCCCTTCCCTTACTCTCCCCTATTTGTGTCACATCTCTCCCTTTCTCCCAACTACTGCCCAATAATGTGCATGTTCACCATCTCTTTCCTGAACATCTGGAGCCTTTTCCCAACTGGTCATCTGCCTCCAGTCTCCCATTCTATCCTGTTCTCCACAAGCAATAAGAGAGAGCTTTCTAATAAGCAGACATACACATTACTCTCCCCTTAATGCCTTACAATAGTGCCCCATCACCTTCAGGCTGGAATTTACCCACTTAGTATGCCTCCTAAGACCTTTCTGGATTTGTTCTCTGCCAGCTCCTCCAGCCTCATCTTTGCTACCCAACTACATGTTAGACCCCCCATCTCAGCTAACAGTTTCTGAACAAACAAGACTACGCAATTCTCTAGCTGGGACCTAGGTCCTCCAGATCCCTGTGCCTAGAATGCCTGCCCCCTCCAGTCCCTCCACCTGCTAATGCCTGTTCATCCCTCAAGATCCATCGCAATCATCACTGCCCAACCCCAGGGCTGGACAAGCCCCTCTTGGCCCCCATGGCCTCTGCTGCAACTCATCACACATCAGCATCCTGGAGTCTACAGGGACCCAAGTCCAAGTCTGGGCATTCTCTGTGGGGAGGAGACCCACATCAGACCCTCCCTGGGCCACAGTAACCAGCTCCAGCCCAGTCCATGGTAGGGCTCAGACACTGAGCTGAGCCTCTGGGCCTCAGCTGTGGCTGGCACTTGGCCCTAATGTAGACTGCATCCCTCTTTCAGGTCTCTCCTTGGGGGTCCCTGAACATTTTCTCCTAGCCAGCATACCCTAAGCCTCCACAACCATGGGCTGGGGCCTACCAAGGGTAGACAACAGGGCTCACCCCCACTGAGGCTACACACATATGGATCACACTACATTCACATATCCACGACAGACAAGGACCCATGCATGCCCCCACCCCCACGTATGCACCCATGGGTGCTGTGGGTTCTCTGGAGACCAATGCCCGGACTAGGGGCCACAAGCAGTGCACCTGGTTGATGACGTAGATGCCATAGCGCAGCCTCTGTCGCCTCAGGATGGGGTGCAGGTAGTGGAGCCAGTAGTGTAGGTGGTGCTCCCGGTGTCGAAAGGGGATGATGACTGCCACTGTCTGGGCTGGAGTGCAGTCAGGTGGTGTGTAGCGGCCGCCCAGGAGCACCCCTGGGTTCTCCCTTTGCACACGTTCCAGCGGCATGGGTGAGGTGAACTCAATCAACAGTCGGCCCACTGCAGGCAGGGTGGTGGCAGGGTCAGGCCTTCATCAGAATCCAGAGACACCAGCCCTCCCTCTCAGCTTGAGGCTCCTGGAACAGTCCTCTTACAACAGCCCCAGACCCACGGGCCAAGGTCCACTCCCCCAGTCAACCAGGTCAGGTCCTCGGCCCACCCCTACAGGCAGGCCCCAACCCTGCACTCACCGAGACCAGGTGGCGAGTCAGGACAGGGCGGCAGGACAGGAGCCGTGGGGCCGGGCCGGGCGCTCGGAGCCTCGGGGAGTCCTGAGCTGGGGGCAGTGGTGTTGGGCCGAGAGCAGTTAGTGCTGCTGCTGGCAGCTGGGTGGAGGGCACGGGCAGGGCTGCGGGCACTGAAGCGGCTGAAGAAGGCCAGGTGCTGGGCGTAGACGTCAAAGTAGAGGATGACAGCCACAAGAAAGTGCAGCAGACAAAGAAGGAGCACAGCCTTGCAGACGCGCTCCAGCGTCCCCCCAAGCAGTCTGCTCATCCCGCAGGCGGCCGTCGGCCCGCCTAGTGGGCCCGGGCATCCGGCTGCCGGCCTGAGCAGGAGCAGGGGTAGGAGAGAAACAGACCCAGCAGGTCAGGGTGGGGCGAGCAAAGCTATCCACCCACCTCCTGCCTACTGCTCAACTCATGGACCCACATCCTCACACTTACCTGCTTATACCCTTTGACACTCATGGACTCACATTCTACCTGCAAATAGACACACAGACACAGTCCCTGGCAACTCACTTCTCACACACCTTTACACACCGGAGTACTAAGCCATATTGTTTGCATTCCTCGTCCTTAATACCACACACACATGCACAACTGCACATGACCTCACACTCAGGTACATGCTCTTATTGCACTTTACACACACACACACACACATATGTATTCTCAGGAACATAGACACATGATCAATGACCACACTAAACATAGAAACATGTTTACCTAAAGACCCACATGTGTGTATCTGTGCCTCAGAGACAGACACCTGACAGGGCTTCCTCAACCCAGGACTCAAAGTCTGGGGGAAGGGAGACCATTTACTGAGTACCTCCCAGGAGCACTTTATATTCATGACTTTTAGTCCTCCCAGGAGCATGGTGGGTAGTGGTTTGGTCGGACATGTCCCAGTGGCAAGCAGGCCAGGCCAGCTGGGACCAGGCTGGGAAGTGGCCCTCGACATCCAGGTGGCCCAAATATGGATAAGATGTTTATGGGAGCAAGAGGTCAAAATATGGGGTGGGGCACAAAACATCCCTCCCTTAACACCTCAAGGGTTGGGATGAACTCTGAGACCTGCCCAGCCTTCTGGTTCTGATTCCCAGAAGAGGAACCCTTAGGCCCTGAAGACGGGGCACAGCACTCAGCACAGCAGGATGGGGTCCTGCCTGAGCCCTGGCTCCAGCTGTGTTTCCAAAAGAGCAGCAATAATTCTGGGGCATGTCCAGCAGTGCTGCTGGGAGCAGGGTGAGTCTCACAGATACAAAGTATCACACAACCACAGACACTCTGGGTCCCTGCTATATAGTTACTTGCACTCACGCACAGAGAACTACATACAGAGTCACAGACACACTCGGGTGACAGTAACTCACAGAGTCACACACTCACACACAAAGCCTCTGCTTCTGGACTTACACAGCCATACATACAGGCTCCCGGGCAGCTCACAACACCCAGCCCCAGGTACAAACATGCCCACCCCTCCCTCCGGAGCAGGGGTTCTGGGTAAGGCTGACGGCTGAGAGGTGCGTTTGGGCGGGGCTGGCAGGCTGAGTGGCCTGAACACGTGGCACCCCCAACCGGGGGAGGCAGCAAAGACCCGGTGGGTGTGGAGCATGGGGGGTTGAGGGGTGTGGACTGGGTCTGTGGATGTGGGGCTGGGGCCGAGGCAAAGGGGAAACGTTGGGTGGAGCCCCTCCCCGCACCACGAGGCCGGGGCGCGGGCGAGGACAATAAGGGAAGCTTCCTGGGGGCGCGCAGAGGAACCCCGGGGGAACCGAAGGATGGGGGTGGGGTGCGGTAACGTCAGGCCGGGGTCTGGCCGCCTGCTCCTCTCACCGGTCCTGGGCGGGGATCTCGGGGCGTCCCTCGTGGGGCCAGGTCTGGAACCTCGGGGCCCTAGGCTGGGGCGGCGCGCGCCCCCCTCTCACCCGGCGCTCGGGGCTCAGCAGGGGGCGCCGCTCCGACTCGGGCTGGGTTCCCGGCTCCGGCGGCTGCGGACGGCTCTGTCCCCCATGGCCCGGCCCCGCCGCCTCCCGCCGCCCGGTCAGCGGCCCCTGCGGCCCCCGCGCCGCCTCCCGCCACCGCCGCGGGCCATGGAGCCGAGCAGCCCCAGGGGGCAGGGCGGGGCCGGGCGGCCGGGCAGACCCACGGACCCGCGGACCGATGGACCACAGCGCCGCCGCCTCCCTCCCGCGCTACGGCGCCTCGGAGGGGCAGGCCCGGCTGGCGCGCCCGCGCGCGCGCCCCCGCGCCCCCCGCCTCCAGCGCGCCCGCACCCGCCGCGCGCCCCCGACGCCCGCCCCTGCCGGCCGCCAAGCGCGGCGGAGCAAGGGGACAGAGGCGGCACAGGACCAGGGAGGGACGGAAGACATCGGTCGGGCTTATCCAAGGATGGTGTGAGTGTCAAAAGCATTACGGAGAAGTGCTGGGTTGGAGCGCGAGCCCAGCCAGAGAGGATTCTGGACATTAGGGCCGACTGGGGCGGGCAGGTTAGGAATTTGTCAACTCATTGACAGCAGCATGATTACAGGTCCGCCTTCGGCCAGCAAAGGAGACTGAATTAAGTAGGGCCCTTAAAGGTGTGGACGAAACTATGCGTTAGGGGCCTGGAGGTGGGTGGGACTTCTAGGGTTACAGGAGTAAGAGATTGGCCAGGAGTGGGAGGCGCTGGACAGGGTCCTGGGAACAAGGGATCAAATTAGTTATGGGCAGGGGATGACGCTGGGATAGGCAAACTCAGTGAATGGGCTCCAAGCCCCACAGGGTTAGCTGGTGATGGATGCCTGAGGGTAGAGCCAGGTAAGTAGATGTGGCCCGTTTGGGCTTAGCAGACACAGACCTGAGGAAGGGGACTAGGAGGACACGCCTCCCCCAACACCTGGGCCCATATCCCCGTACTCATTGTTCCCTTCAGTAAAGATGTTCAGGGTTACAGAGTCCTCAGTCCAGTGCAAAACTGGTTTCTGTCCAGAACAGAGATAGTATATATGAATAAGAAAGGCAAGAGGCTGGTGAAGTTGAGGCCTATATGCCTGTTTACCCTTTGTGAAAGGTGGTGAAAGGCGAAGGAACAGAATCAGCACTGACCCAGACAAATACCATGTTTATTTCACAAACACTGGGGAGATGGGGGGGAGATGGGACATGGGTGCACAGCTGCACACACAAGTCATCAGCAGCCCACTCCTCACACTGAGGATCCAGCCAGGCAGTGCCTCTAAGTCAACAGGCAGCGAGAAGTGAGTGCAGGGGGGGCCTGAGGGCCTGAACACCAAGCCCCCTGAAAGGCTAAGGGGCACAGCTCCAGCTGTCCCAGGAAAGCCACAAATAAATAAAAGTGGGGCACGGCCCCACTCACACAGATCATCTAGTCACCCATCTTCACTCTGGAGGTCTGCAAGAGAAGAATAGGAGAAGTCAGGAAGGGACAGGGGAATTGACAAGACACTGACAAAAGACAAGCCCTAGCACACCCACGGCAGGACTGACCGACCACAGCAGATGGAGGACTGGCCCAGGAGGGACATGCTGTGACACACACAGGTTTGGGACAGACTGGAGAGAAGTGGCATTTGGACAGTACTAGTCACCAAAAGTCAACCCAGTTAAGTACCCACAGTCACACTCAAGATCCTCAGGCTGATTCTTAGCCACACTCAAATGTTGTCACACAGATGAGATATATGTAATTCAGAACTGCTGTCCTACTGACAGCACAGATACATACAGGCTCTGAGAAACACAAACACACCAAGACAGATTGCTGCAGACAGAGACAAGACTACAAATAAAGAGACAAAATAATAGTACAGAAAGAGAGAAACTAAATCAATGATACATAGACACAAAGCAACAAAGAAAAAAACAGAAGAGTCATCAGTGATACCAGACTAAATCGAAATCTTCACATGGAGAAAACCAGAAGATGGGTAGGAGGTGCTGTTTAGGAGTTCTCTGGTTATAGGCAGAGAAGGGAGTACTGTGGCTCCTCCAGGAGGAGGGTAAGGCTGGGTTCAAGACAAGGACAGGGGGATGTAGCACCTGAAGGATGGCAACAATGACTCCGAAGAGGCCGATGGCACTACCAAAGATCTCCACGATAAGAATCTTCACAAAGAGGCTGGGGTTCTGCGCGTCGGCCAGAGCGGCTCCGCTGCCCACGATGCCCACGCAGACTCCACAGAAGAGGTTAGACAGGCCCACTGTGAGGCCAGCCCCAAACATGGAGTAGCCTGTGGGGCAGGGGGAGGGAGAGAGCACTGAGGCCAAGCCAGGCACAAAGAGAGATAAGGACAAGGGCTCAACATATTCTACTGGGACCAATCACCACCCCAAATCTGAAAATCAGGCCAAAGTCAGTGAGAAAATATCAAATGAGGAGTCTTAGCTGGGGCACGGGAAGCAGGTATGAAGCCCCGGCTTTTTACCTTCATATACCAACTTACCTGCATGGTAGTTTCGATGGCCAATGGCCTGGGGGTCAGTGGCACTGAAAGGCTAAAGAAGGCAAAGATATAACCAGAAACCATCCCCACACCACTCCTCCTCCCTCTTCCCTTGCTAAACAATGCCTAGAACACACTGACATGGATGCCCACCCCACCCTGGTCCTCCTTACCTCAGCCATGTTGCTAATCACAATTGCCATGATGATACCATAGATGGCCACAGCCTCACAGAAGATGATGCTGGTAGTGGCATAAGGGGTGAAGAGGAGAAAGAGATGAGAAAAAAACCAACCTGCCTCCCCAGAGAGTCCCCAGCCACCTTTTTCTGCCAGACATCCCATTAGCAGCATGTCAGGTCAAACACATAGGCAGCTCCCCATGTAGTTGGTTCTGACAAACCTTCCAAGGGCCTCACACTTACCTGACCAGGTTCTTGGTCTTGATCCTAGGGGCCTTCACCCCTCCCCCAATGATGGAAGAACCAGTAATATAGATGCCCCTGGTGGAAGGGTAAGAAACCAATGAGCAGAGCTTCAGTTTGCCACTGCCCCCAGGATGACTAAGGACCCAGTGACACCACCTGCTATGACTCAGCACCCCCCCATCCCACCACCCTAACACTCACCACGCTGCCCCAACCACAGACAGGGAGATAGCCAGGCCAATGCCCAGGTTCGACCACATGAACGGGGAAGTCTCAGTCAGGAACCTGGTGTTAAGTCAGGGAGGAGAGCAATTCAGACCTGGAAGAATGGGCCCCAAACTCATCCCCCCAACCCCCTCCAACCCCACCAGTCTTGCGTGCTAAGACAAGACACCTCTTATTTCCCAAAGGTCTATAACCCAGGCGGCTGGGGGTGGGGTGGGATAGGAGTTCAGACCAGAGAAGGCAGGCAGGCTGCAATTAGAAAGAACCCCTAGGGGAATCCTCTCCCAGCCATCCCTTACCATGCTACATCAAAGCGGAAGCCCAAGTCAAAAATGGTATAGCAGACTCCTGCAACAGTAAGAAAAAAGGTGTTAGGGGCTGCTCTCTAGAAAGAAGTTCCCTAACCTGAACAAGAAATTGCTGCCCAGCTAATGGGCCACCTACTGATAGGTTTGCCTACCCCCAAATCAAGGTAGAGTCCCAGGCTGGCCCCCACCTGACAGCACAGCTGTCCATACAGATGTCTGCTCAGACCTCCATTTTCCTGCCACTCCCTCAGTAATATCTCCCTCAGTGACACCACCTCACAGCCCAAGACTCTCCACGGTTAGCCACCGACAGGCCTGAATACCCTGGAGGGAGGAGGGGAGCAAGAGCTTCGACCAGGCCCCACCAGATCCCGCCAGTCCAATCCGAGCCCCGTTTACTCAACAAGCTGTGGGGGGGAGGGGGGAAACAACCAGGAAAAGAGGAAGTGGACCAGCCGACTCGTGACCCAAGCAGGCCAGTCAGGAGCAAGAGGGGACCACAGCAGTGGGACGGGGGTGGGGTGGGGGCAGTGCCAGAAAGGGATCGGACTGCTCTCACAGCCCGCCAACTACCCCCACCTGTACCCCTCCTCAAGCAGCTGGAGATTCGGGTCACCTCTGTCGATGTCAGAGGCCGCTCCGAAAGGGGTGAGGCAAGTCCCAGAGCCCGGAGCACAGAGCCAGCCCTGGGGCCCAGTATCTCCGGGCCCCACTTCCCCCGCTGAACTGCAGCCCTGCCAGCTCGGCGCGGATGCTGGCCCCGCCCGTCAGGGCCCGGCCTCACCTACGACGAGCATGCAGGCCCAAAAGGCCACGAAGACCCCGGAGTACAGCAGCGCTAGCCCCGTCATGGCGGCAATGACAGCGGGGCTCAGGTCGGTGGGGCCAGAGCTAAAACCACGTCCCTGCGTCCACCGTCCGCCCCGCAGCTTGTTCGCACGCCCCGCAGCGTCACCTGACACACCCACGTGACACCCGGCGCCACGTGACCCACCGCCAGGCCCTGCGCCGCGTCGCTGCGGATGCAGAATGTGGCCATGGCCGAACTGCTGGCGCTGAGGGTGGTGGAGGTTGTAGTCTTACACTTCGTTCCAGGCCCCGCGCCCTTCTTACTGTGTACCTCGATCTCTGGCTGATCCCTTTCGCGTATCTGCAAGCCCGCTCCTCCTCAGCCCGGATGCTTCGGCCCCCCTTTGACCCACTTTACACCCGAGCCTGCTGTCAGACCTCCCTACCTTAGGCTCCAGGCCAGTGCTGATCCCACTGGCCTCCTCCCTTGCCGTCTGCAAGGGTGTCTGCTCTCGTCCTCACTTTGCTCATTCTGTTTCCGCTACCTGGAGCACTCTTCCTGCCCACCCCACTGTCTGACTAACACCAAGCAGTTCTCAGAAATCAATCTTCCAGCAAGCTTTCCGTAATCCAGAGGCAGGGTGGTGTGCCCTGTGAGCTCCCATGCTGCCCTGATCCTTACCAACTTCAACAAGATGTTACTCTCCTGCTTAAAATGCCCTGGCGGCTCCCATTTCACTTGGAATTAAAGCCATAGTCTTGTTGTTCATATGAAACCTGAGCATAAGATTGTGTATCAACGATACCTTAATAAAAATTTTAAAAAACCCACGACAGTGTTTATAATGGCCTACCAGGCCTCTACACGCCCTCAGTGCATGTGCTAACACGCCCCCATTCTCAGCTGGCTACAATGGCCTTCCCTACTTCTTGAGCATAGCAGCCATACCTGTACTGCAATGCCTTTGCACTTAAGTGCCCCCTCTGCTTCTAATACACTCCTTCCCAACTTTCTATTTCCCTATAGCACTTACTTACCACCCCTCGGCATACTAAGTGCTTTGCTTGTCCCCCACCCCCACCCCATGAAAATGCAAGCACCATGAAAGATTTCTGTTGAGTTCACTGCTCTATTACCAGCACTTGGCACACAGTGGGTCCTAAATACAAATTTGTAAAATACATGACTGGTGCCCTCCTTGTCCTAGTACCATGGTCAGTTTACAGATCTGCTTCTGCCAGTAGACTAGGCACTCCCTGAGGGCAGGGACCACATCCCTTATTCACCTGTTTTTTCAACACCCTGAACCAATGTCAGTATGTCAAGACCCTCAGCAAATAAGGGAATGAAGAAATATCCCTGGCAGCTTCCTTCCTCACAAAGCGTAGTTTCACTGAGTGGAAGTTGCTTATTTAATTGCTTCTTTTCCCAACTACACTGTTTGGAGACAGGAATACAGTCAAATACAATTCAGATATCCAACCACAAGATGTGAAGTGTTTGATGAATAACAAGAGAGAGAAAGAGAACAAGCATCTGGTTTATTCAAGTTTCTGTGATCTCCCTAAAAACAAATCGGAGTCATCATAGACCAGCACTGCCCAACAGAATTTTCTGCAATAGAAATTCCCATACCTGTACTGTCTTCTCTTTTGGCTATTTGAGCACTGAAATATTACTGGTATGACAGAAACTGAGTTTTTAATCTTAGTTTAAATAGCCCAAGAGTCTAGTGGCTACTATACTAGACAGCACAGGTCTAGACTGGTAGTTCTCAACTCGGGCCAGTTTTGCCCCACTAGGTGACATTTATCAATCCGGAGACATTTTTGGTTATCACAGCTGGGGAAGAGTGTGCTACTGGCATCTAGTGGGCAGAAGCCAGAGATGATCCTAACTATCCCACAGTACCCAGAAGAGCTCCTCACAATGAAGGATTGTCTGGCCCAAATGTCAACAGTACCAAGGTTGAGAGACCCTGGTCTTAGAACCTGCGTTTGCCCTTGTGAGACCATCACCTGCACACCAAAAACTGGGATTGGCCAGAGGTTCTGGGCTGCTCCCAGGAGGCTTCAAAAAAGCCACAAATCAGTCCCTGTAAGTCAAATAACAGGCATTTACTAAGCCAATATCTGCTCGGCCGTGTGCCAGTGCCAGGACAGGACAGAGCTGGATGCTATCCTCAGCTACTTCAAGGATCCTGGCAGATGGGTGAGGTTGAGGCAGGGAGCACTAAAGCCCTCAGTAGTGATTCTTAAGTCCATCTGTGTCTCTGGCCCCACATAGTATCAGCTGCTTCCTTCATCCTCATAGGCGATGGCAATCCCTCGTCTTCCACTCACAGCTCCTGTCACTGGTGTCTGACCCAGGTGGGGCTGCAGCCCCTGCCAGCTCCGGGAACTAAGAAATGAGGCTGCAGAGGGAAGAGACTGAGGCTGAGTAACCTGGACCTGGGAAAAGAGTTCAGATGGGAGTGGAGACTTGGCACACTTACCTGCAGGGCTGCTCTCAGCCAGCTCCAGTCGGGGCCGAGGGGTCAGGGCTGAGCATCCAGGATCAATTGATGGCTTCCAAGCAGGTGGAGGTCGGAGCTCCCCAGTAATGAGTGAAATATCTGGGGTGTCCCACAGTTCTGAGTCAGGTGGTGGGAGGGGCACATGGAAAGGAGAGCCTGGGAGAGAGAAAGAGGATTCATACTGGCTCCCTGATTCTATACTGCAAGTGTTTCCAGCTCAGGCAGTACCCCACCACTCACCAGGTAACAGATCCTTGTAATGTGTGAGGTGGGGAGCCAAGCCTGAAGGTGGCCACGCAGGGTTACAGGCAGCCTCCAGCTCACATGGTGCCAATACAGGCCGGAAGAAGTTACCAGAAAGCTGGGGAGCTAGGGTACCAAGAGGACAGGCTAACAAGACAAAGACATCCACCTCAGGGAAGTTGGCAAGCTTGGGAGGTGTGGGCCGCCCCAGGGCCAACACATAGCTACGCTTGCCGGCAGCCTGAGTCAGGTTCCGCAAGTGTGCCAGTGCCTCACGGTGTCGTGCCACACTCAATGTGCCTGCCAACAGCCCCACCACACGGGCATCTCTGGCCCTCTCTACCAGATACTGTCTACGTGCCCTTAGGCGCCTAGCCTGGGCAACTTTGTCCTGAGTCCGCCCAGTGTCTGGGCAGCAGGAGGAGAAGGGCTGCCCTGGTGCCCAGCCCAAGAGCAGCCGGCTCAGATCAGGGTCGAGGTCAAGGTCAGGGCTAGTCTCAGAGCCCCCCACATAGAAGGCACCATACTCTTCCAGACACCTCCCTGGAGCCAGGGGGAAGTGGCGCCCAAAACGTTCCAAAGGTTCAGGCTCTGGATTGAGAGAGCCCGTTGGCTGGGGAAGAGCTGGGCTGGAGACAAGCAGGTCCAGGTACCGCGGGCGCAGGAGAGTGGCCAAGGCCTCTGGAAGAAGGAGGTGGTGTCAGGGTTGGAGCCTGGCTAAGCAGGAGCCCTCTCATCCCCAGGAGACTGACTGTGACCCAAAAGCAAAGACTGGGGTCAAGCCCATATCAAGAGCTCTATGGGAATGTACAGAAATGGGGAAATCAAGGCACAACGTAGTTGGTCCACCCTTCCTGCATGCACAGGCAAAACCCCTTACCTAGGGCATGGGCACAGGCTGGCTCACTCAGTAGCACCACAGGCACTGTGGGGTCTGGGTTCTGGGCCTCAAAGGCCTTGGCGCATAGCTCCAAAGACACAAAACGTTGACCAAAGACAAAGGCAACGGGCAGTGGGCAGGCTGGAGGGCTTAAGCAGGCAGGGCCAAAATGTACAAGGGCCTGAGCTCCAGCTTGCTGAGCACCCAGTACATCCACACAGCAGCTGCAGGGGAGATACCGTTAGTGAGAAGAGTTCTCATCTGGATGCAATGCTGTCATCAATGGGAAATGTGGTCAGTAAAGAAAATGTTACTAAAAGAAGACACTGTCGTTGAGGGGAGCTAGTATCAGGAGAAGAGAATATCATCAAAAAGAAACACAGCCTGGAGGCAGATACTGTCACAGAGGGGAAATGCCATGAGCCCTGGATCCCTAGACCCTCAGTCCTTAAGCTCAAGTTCACACCTGCCATATGCTGTGTCCCCCAGAATGAACATCTTCGACCCAGTGATCTCTTCCAGTCGTGCAGCCACGGCCCCCGCATCTCCCAGTAGCTGGTCAGGAAACTGTAAGGCCACCTGTAAGCATAAACCATTGAGCCTGAAACAGCCTCTCCTCCACCGAGTCTCTTCAAGGAAGAACTTCTGGGAGTCCCTACCTAACCTTTAAAGCCCCTCCTCCAGAGGAGCACCTCCCCACCCCGCCAAGCCCAGTCCTAACAAAATTACCCCAAGACCCTGCTCCTCTGGGCGACCCATTCCTGGAGAGGTGAGCCAACCCTCCCTAACCGCTCTCACCCGCAGGCACCCCAGGTCGCTGACAAACCCAGAGATTCGCTCCAGCTCATACACTTGGTCCAGGTCCGCAAGAGGAGTGCGTAGGCCTGGGGCGCCGGCCTCTCGCTGCAGGGCCGCCTCTGCGGGGCTGCTGAACGTGGACTCCATGAGGCACAGCTTGGGTGGAGGAAAGCAGCTGGTACTTCCCTCGATCAGCTTCACGCCCCGTTCTCAAAAACAGCGTTCAATTGGTCAGAGCCGCTCGGCTGGGGTAGGAGCTGGGGAGTCAGCCAACCCGCAGACCTCGGACGAGCCCGGCAATCTACCCAGACTCGCCAGTCTCTACTCCACCTGGGCCTACCCGGAGATTACTTCCGGGTTTGGGGGCGGGGCCAGTAGTATTTTACCATTCTTAAATTAGCATGGGGCCCCGCCCTCTAACCTTCGCCAGGTCTCAGCAGGGCAGGGACCAATCGGGAGTGCCTGAGAGGAAGGCGCGGAGCCTTGTGGGTGTTGAAGTTCCCCTGACCCTCCTCTCCCGCCAGTTTACAGGCTCAGCCCAGCACCCTCCCTTAGAATTGAAATATATATTTTCAATTATATTGAAAATAATTGCTCCAGTTTGAGCAGCTCCAATCCGCGGTACACTTGTTAGGCGCTTCACGTGCACTCTATAGTTTGGGAGGTAGAACTACGTAATTTTAAAATTCAGGTGCCAAACTGCCTGGGTTTGAATATTGTGCTCCAGTTTGAGCAGCTCCAATCCGCGGTACACTTGTTAGGCGCTTCACGTGCACTCTATAGTTTGGGAGGTAGAACTACGTAATTTTAAAATTCAGGTGCCAAACTGCCTGGGTTTGAATATTGTGCTCCAGTTTGAGCAGCTCCAATCCGCGGTACACTTGTTAGGCGCTTCACGTGCACTCTATAGTTTGGGAGGTAGAACTACGTAATTTTAAAATTCAGGTGCCAAACTGCCTGGGTTTGAATATTGTGCTCTGACACTTAATACTTAATAAAAATCTTAGGAAAGTCACTCAATGACTCTACAGTGGTTTCTTCATCTGCAGAAAGGGGGCTGTAGCCCTAGTACTCCTAATAGGAGTATTAGGTCAAGGCAATTTGGATACAAAACTTCAAAAAGTAGTTCTTTGCATATCATGTCCTGAAAGCATTTGCTATATTACCCTTCCCCCAGTCTGTCAATCTGGCAAACATTGAGCACTTACTGTTCATAAGGCACTACAGTCTTAGAATTTAGTCTTTGAGTAAGAATTGTCCCATTTTTACAGATGAGGAAATTGAGGTTCAAAGCAAGTCAGTGGCACAATCATTATCAAACCCAGGTCTGATTTCAGAAGCTGGGCTTTAGACTCCTCATTCTCCTAGCTTATTTCTGCTACATTTGATCATGGGGGAAAGAAGGAGGGAGACACATGGATACCATGTAGCAGGAGAAGAGGACTAAAAGTAAGTGAAACATGTTCAAATTCCCCAGAAGTGAGAAATCAAGAGTAAGATTAAAATGGTACTGAAGAGGGGCAGGGGAAGGGGACAGAGTAGCCTTAGGGTGTTTCACATGAAAGGGGGACTGATGCTAGCTGGCATGAGAGACTGAAGGAGAGTGAAGAATGGAGGACAAAGAATTTGTGCAAAGGTTAGGGAAAGAACAGGGGCAGGAGTGAGACAAATGTGGGAGTAACTAGTTCTTATCACCTCCAAGGAGACTCAAGACTCAGGGATGGCAATGCGGAGAACCCAGTACTGATCTCCAGATCTTACTGAGAAGGATGGGGTGCCTGAGAAGCAGCCTGGGTGTAACTAGGGTTGAGAGACAGAAAGGGAGGGGACCTTGATTAAGTGAGGAGAGCAACAGCAGGCCAGGAGCTGTCCCTGGTCCTGACCAAGCCCTGGGCATTGTGTGCCCATCACCTACCACAGAGGTGGGAGCTGTGGGTACACAGACAACACTAGGTCCTTTCTTCCTTTTCTGGGGGATGCCATGCATCCTCGCACACAAGCTGAGCCCTACTTTCCATACTTCTCCTCAGCCATATCTAAGTTTGGGTATCTTCCATAACTGCACATGAGAAACCCACCCTTGAACTCAAAGCCTCTATTTCTTCCCTCCCAACTGGACCAAGCCCCACCTCACTTTCAGCCCAAGGCCCCAAGTCCCCTACCTAGGAAACCTCCTATCCCCATCAGAAATGAAACTTCCTCCAGGCAGCTTTTCTTCACTGTTCCCATTCTGCCAGCTTAGCATGGTAGCTATGGACTAGATCAGCCTTTGTTTTAATAGAAAAAGGCAAGGCAGAACAAGGGACCTAGTTCTCAGCACTTCTCATTTAATAAATGTATGCACGCATAAACTGGGACTAATTTAATGAGGTGTAGGGGAGGCTGCTGATACTACTTCAGTCTCCACCTCACTCCAAGAGCAATGGCATTATTCTGAATGGCTCCAGTCTAGGTGGTGTGGCTACAGTAGTGCCCCTTTCACCCTAACAGAAGTTGGCCCCACCACTCCCTACCCGGGCCTGGGTCCAAGAATCCTCCCATCCTTCCCTCTGGCCTTCTGAGGTCATCTAGTTAGGTGGTGGTAGCAGCAGAGAGGAAGCAAAGACAGCAGTGTGGTGAGGGTCCAAATTTACTCTTTGGGGATAGGGAGGGGTGAGGAGGAGGTGTGGTGGGATGAGGGCTTCCCTCAGTAGTCAGCTGTGTAATCTGTGCCATGTAGCCCCCGGCACAGCAGTGTGAACTCCTTCACCATCTCCTTCACCCGCCTCTTGTTCACTCGCTCACTGAAGAAGGGAAGAGAGAGCAGGTTAGAACCACACACCAACACCACCTCTTCCTCTCCACTCAAGCTCGGGTACCACTAGCTCTGCTCACCGAAGGATCTGCTGGCTGAAGGTATCCTTCTGTTCAGGGCTGAGGCGGGCAGAGGGAAAACCAGGTGGCTGCAGTGCCTCCTTGATCCACATGCTCAGGAGGCTGAAGCAGTGTTTGTTCAGAGCAAATAGGATGTCGGCAAAGCAGTCCATGAGGCTGCGGGAGGCCTGGCCCCCAATGGCCTGAGGGAAATGGGTTCTCAGAACACCAGGGCCTTGAGCCTTCTGCAGCCAAGGGTGCCTAGCCATGTCCAGCCCACTCCCAGAAAGTTCCCCAGATGAACTGCACATGACATAAATGAGTGCTGCCTTTGGGAGCCATCTGATCCCCACAGCAACCCTAACTTTCAGTCACTGAATTGATGAAGAAACAGAATCAGAAAGCTTAGAGAACAAAGGCACAAGGTTCCGAGGAGGGCAGCTGCCTCAGCAGTGAGGGTCAACCATCCCCATCCACCCCACTTGCTCCATCTCACCTCTAGCACTGCTATGAGCAGCACACGGCCGTCCTCCTGTACCACCTTTCCCACAGGTTCTACTTCCCCACATCGAGGCAGCAGCTCTGTCTACAGAGGGTGGAGAGGCCCATCAGCCTCAGTGCTTTCCCTGCTCTCCACGGAGACAAGACTTACACACCACACTCCTACCCCCTGGAGTCCTGGGCTGGGTGTAGGGTGGTGGGAAGTCAGGGGTCAGCATGGGACTCACAAAGAAGCCACAGGAGGCCTTGACAGTAGGTGCCTCGGGGAACTTGAGGGCCAGCACAGCTGTGGGAGAGGCAGAGGCAGATCAGATGGGGCCTAAGATCCTCCCAAGGGGGCCCCAGGCCCACATGGCCCCACTTACCACACTGGAACACAGCTTTGACATCCAATCGTTCACACAGGAACAAATCTGGCTTCCGCTTCAGAGCCTGCAGGAGGTGGAGCTGGTAAGTCCAGCCCCAGCTAGCTCCAAGGACCATCCCCCTACTTGCCTGCCACCCAGGCCCCAACTTCACATTGCACAGGCAGAGACTGCCAATACCAGCCACCCAGACATCTCCGGGGGATCCAGACCACTCCAGAGTTCAATAAGTCAGGAGGGGAACAGTCAAGAGATGCTATGTGTACACGAATACACAGGTGTGTGTAACAGAGGTTGGGTGATCATAATGCAAAAAGCCTGGGTCTCAGTAACTCCCTGCGTAACCACCTTCCCCTCTCTCCTTCATCAGGGCCAGACCTCCTGCAAGCTCCAGGTAGCCTGCAGTGACTTTGCTTTGATTCACAGAGGCAGTTGAGGCCCCCTGAATTTACTAACAGGGCAGCAGAAAGAAGAGATGGCAGCTGGACGTGAAGCTCAGTCCAAAAGCCCCCCTCCCATGTCCCACTTGTACCCTCCGATACCCTCCAGCTCATGAAGAGGGCAAGTAGGGTAGAAGCCTTGGAGCCATGGCCCCATCTTTCACCCACGATACCCTGCATCCAAGCCCATCTCAGCCATACCCAGACCAGGAGCCATCCTTAGCCAGTGAAGGGGAATAGATGGAGTGCAGGGGGCAGAGAGGCCACCCCAAGTGGTACCAGGACACGACTGGCACATCCTCAGGTCACAGGAGATGCTCTGCACAGCTCCAGCAGTCATCAAACACTACTGTTCCCCAGCAGCCCCCAATGCATACCACAGAGATCCCTGACCCTCCAGCCCTCACACACCTTCCACTTCCCATGTTCACTCATGTGCAAACATCCCACGTGCACCCTCACTTGAAACACCCTACTTACCCTCAAACGCACCCCATCACATCCCTTATACATATGCTCTCCCACATTTGCAACACTACGTATTCACATTCCCAAAACCCCACACACCCCCAAACCATGTCCACATGCCCACACCCTCAACCTACCCAGTTCTCCAGCCAATGTACTCTCCCAACCACCCATCCACAGATACACACTCAAACGCCCTCACCCCAAAGATACACCCTCACAGAGAGTGACATGCATCCGTCCAAGCCCAGAACACACTCCTTTCCGATTCCCCACCCCTCCTGCACCCCTGACCATCACTAGACTCTAGTTCTAGGAGAGTAAGAAATGAGCCTGCTTTCCTCACCACTGTATTCTCAGCACCTAGCAGAGTGCCAAGCACATATTACACACTTGATAAATATGCAGAATGATTAAGTAAAAAACCCATCATTTACCCCAACCCACAGGACCACCTAATATGCAGAACCCCCACCACACTAATCCCACATTATCACAGCCCAACACATATATCTTCCCAAACATACACACCCTAGTATAGACACATGGCTACCACAACATACACTCCCTCTTCCACACTCCTCACTCCCGCAGCTGTACACACATGTGCACACACACACACACACACACACACACACACCTCCGGCATGTATCAACATTCAAAACTCCATCAACATACAATGGTCATCAATGAACATGCCCACGCTTCAACTACACATTTATCCAACACCCAACACAATACACGTGCTACACACAGCAGTTATTTCTGTTCCCTTCCCAA